GTCGCATGGAGATGGCAGCAAGTTCCTTCTCGAGCACGATCACCATCGGGAGAGTGTTGGGCTGAATCACATCGCGTAGTAGTTTCCACGCCCTTGGACCCGAATCATCCGCTTCCACAAGATCCTTGATGTGCTCGAACATCTCCTTGTTGACCGATTGAAGGATGAGGTCGAAAAGCACCGCGCTTTTCTCAATCCACCGTTCGCGTGCTTCGCCTTCTTCCGGCATCTTCTCTTCCCCAACAGCAATCTTCAGTAGCTTGTAGCGTTTGAAGGCACTCCTCATCCGTCCGCTCCATTCCTCATAGTTGGAGCCATCCAAAGCTTCAACTTTTGATGGCGGCGGCTCACTTGTCTTCTCAGCTACAGCTCCTCTTCCATTAGCATCTCCTCCTCTCTCATTCATCTTCTCCTTGAGAAATGACGAATTTCAGCCCCCCTTTGCTGTCCACACTCAGCTCCCTCGATATTTTCACAAGTGTCGGCGTCCACGAAATTTCGGCAGAGTTTCCCTTAGCGGAAGACACATCCAACCTTTAGAACACCACTTAGGCACACCCACAGGCCATGGTGGGTCTAGAAGGGTCTTCACACTTCTGTAGACTCCTCTCAACGTCCTTAATACAGCTCTGATACCACTTGTTAGGATTAAGGACGGAGTCTAGGTGAACTTAGGAGCTAGAATTACTCAAAATATAAATCCGAAATTCTGGACAGAAAAGTCGTCTTCACAAGAAACGACGTCGACAAACAACTAGCCGTTGGAATGTCGCGAAACTTGGATATGTTGTAGCTCTTAATCTCAGCTACCGTTCCCAATTTGAATCATGTTGATTGATAAAGTATTCGCGACGCTATGGCTTTCGACGCACTAGGGGGTAAGCTGTAGGAGGAGAACTTAACTCAATCTCAAAGGTTCAATCAAAGTTCAAGAATCTCACAAGGAATTAGAAGGAGCAAGAGAAAGGTTGGGATAGGAAGAGAGGGATGAGAGGGAAGGTCCCAAGAGAGTCCCCAACCAAGGAAACCCCATAAGCACAAAGATTCCCTCCCTATAGGAACCCCAACTTTGACATTTGTCCCTTCCCAACCAATCCATCCAAGTTGGCCACCCTTGCCAACCTAGCTTGGTTGTTCCCAACCAATTTGCAGCTGTTACAGTGAGTGACAAATTTCCCAAACCCCCAAAGGTCCCAACTCCATATAGAGTCACCCCACAACTTCACTTTGTAACCGCCGCAATTGTAACGCAAGCTCATGAACTTTGAATCTTCATAGCTTTCGCGTTCTTGCTCCGATTGAAGGGATTCTCGTTGCGTCGGAAAGATCTTCTCAAGATCTATCATCACAAAAAACCTGCTCAAACAAAATAACACAAAACACATTCCCAAACTCCAGAACACATCACACACAAATTCTTGCACACGTTCAAACCACACATGCAAGTTGAAAAAATATGGGATGGGAGGCAGACAGAATGTGATAGCATATGATGACATCACACAACAGTCTCGTCCTCCCCTCCTGCCGTCGCCTCCTCCGTCGTCGCTCGCTGTCGCACCTCCCCCTCTGTCTGACTACCTTCGTGCTGCTCGTCCTCTTGTTCCTTGGATCCTTGCCTCCCTTGATACTGACACGTCTGTTCCTGTCTCGAGTCTTGACGTTCTTGTCTCTGCTGTCGCTGACTTTGCTTCTACCCGCCGCCTTGACTACGCCACCGCTCTGGTCTCTGACCCTGTCTGTCCTCCGCCCGTCGGGGGTGCGCTTGCCCTTGGCAGTGACGTCCTAGAAGACAGGCAGTACGAGCTTGCTTTCCTGTCAGAGGCTGTTCCCCATCTCTGTTCCATGCTGCTAGTCCCCGATGGTGACCCAGACGCCTTTGACATCCCGACCCCTCGCATCTACGCTGAGGCGACTTCGGGACCCTGGGCCTCTCAGTGGATAGCTGCCATGGAGCAGGAGATGGCATCTTGGAGATCCACTGGCACCTACGTTGACGCAGTTGTTCCACCTGGGGTAGACGTAGTCGATGGCTGGTGGCTCTTCAAGGTGAAGCACCCCCCTGGAAAGCCGCCTGTATTTAAGGCATGCTACGTGGCTAGAGGCTTCAGTCAGCGTGAGGGGGTGGACTTCTATCAGACCTTCGCCCCGACCCCAAAGATGACTACTCTTATGATGCTGCTATACGTAGCAGCACAGTATGACTACAAGCTACATTCCCTTTACTTCTCCACAGCATTTCTCCAAGGCAGTTTACATGAGTAGGTCTATGTGTGGCGTCCGCAGGGCTTCACTGGTACATTCCCTCCTGGGACCCAGTGGCTCCTCCGACGCCCGGTCTACGGCCTGCAACAGGCACCCCGTGAGTGGCACGACACGCTGTGTGCTACGCTTGATGACCTGCAGTTCTTTCCGTCCTCTGCAGACCCCTCGCTCTTCATTCGTGCTTGCTAGACTCCGTTCTACATCCTTGTCTACGTAGGCGACCTGGTCTTCGCCACTGCTGACAGAGACGCACTGGCCTCTGTAAAGGCCGAGCTGCTGAGGAGGCACACCTGCACTGACCTAGGAGAGCTACAATGCTACTTGGGCCTGCAGATCTCATACTGTCACACTTGGTGCGCCAGGTCCTTCAGAGGTTTGGTCTTCAATTCTCCTCCGCACAGTCCCACACCTCTGCCAGTAGATCACAGGCTCTCTGCTCCAATTCCTGAGGAGTTAGTAGAGCCTAGTGGTCCTTACGCAGAGCTGATGGGTTGCCTCATGTACCTGATAACTTGCACTCGTCCAGATCTCGCATACCCTCTCAGCGTCCTGACTCGTTTTGTAGCCACAGGCAGACACCGACCACAGCACTGGTCGGCCGCTAAGAGGGTTTTGCGTTATCTAGCAAGTACATCCGGCATGGGTTTAGTGCTGGGAGGACGCAGGCCAGTAGTCCTTCCTGGGCACACTGACGCTTCTTGGGCAGACGATGCCGAGACCCTCCTCTCAAGTCTAGTGCTTTAGCCTTGGTTCAGGTGCCATCCCGTGGAGGTCCACTCGCTCCTCATCTGTTGCCCAGTCTAACTGTGAGCCTGAGATCTGCGCCGGTGCCATGGCAGCACAGGACCTGAGGGTCTCAGCGTCGTCTGCCCAAAAAGCGTTTGTGTGCCCAGTAAGGACCACTGGCATGCGTCCTCCCAGTACTAGCCCCATGCCTCATGTACTTGCTAGATAACGCAAAACCCTCTTAGCGGCCGACAAGTGCTGTGGTCGGGGTCTGCCTGTGGCCACAAAGCGAGCTAGGATGCTGAGAGGGTATGCAAGATCTAGACGAGTGCAAGTCATCAGGTATATGAGGCAACCCACCAACTCTGCATAATGACCACTTGGCTCTACTGACTCTTCAGGAACAGGAGCTGAGAGCCTGTGGTCTACTAGCAGAGGTGTAGGCTATGCGGAGGAGATTTGATGACCGAACCTCTGAAGGACCTGGCGCACCAAGTGTGACTGTGTGAGAGTGATGGTGCGCGCTGCTATGTCCTTGGAGATCTGTAGGCCAAGGTAGCGGCGAAGCTCAGGGTTTGGGTGTGTCTTCTCAACAGCTCGGTCTTCACGGAGGTCAGTGCGTCTCTCTCTGCAGTAGCGAAGACCAGGTTGTCTATGTAGACAAGGATGTAGAACGGAGTCTGGCCAGCATGAACGAAGAGCGAGGCGTCTGGAGAGGACAGAAAGAAATGACAGTGCCCGCGTCCAAACAGGATTAAAGAGCCAGTCTCACTCCATCAGGTCCACGATATGGCAGCCTCCTTCCTACAGTCAAACAACCCAGCCGTGTTCCAAAAAGGATTGATCCCGATTCTCATGTACACCGGTTTACGGCGCTACTCGGACCTGGTGGCCATCCAATGGCAGGACATCCAATTTAAAGATGAAGCGATGTGGCTACTCATCCCCCACTCAAAAACCGACCAAGCCAGCCAAGGCACATGGATCCCTATCGCAGCAAGCCCCGGACTCTTTTGTCCGGTCCACAGTTGGGAGAAGAGCACCTAGGCACCCACTCATTTCGGAAAGGCGCGGCCACAGTTGCTGCCAACTCCGGGGTTCCTGACAGGATCTTCAAACGCCTGGGCTGTTGGCGTAGTGAAACCGCGAAAGAGATGTACGTTATGCCCACGACCGATCATCTGGTTGGCGCGTCTCGTCGCCTGCAAGACCCGGCGGCGGCACCATCCTCTGCACAACACGCCGAGGCACTTCTCCGCCACCGCAAGCCCCCACTACACATGTCTCAACGACCCCACTTGAAATGAGAACGATGCCTATTGCAAAGGACAAGAAAGCAAGCTTTCTCAATATTATAATTTTTTAACAGACGCTGTGTTTTTCAAAAAATGTGTATTGTGAAAGCGAAGCTGATTGTACTGAAGCGTTGGGCATCGTCGAAGCGCGCTACTCGCCCTTCTCCAACTACATGTACGTGGGTTGGAGCTCATTTACCTCCACCCACGTCTCATTTTTCAAACAGCTCAGTCAACTTTCCCACCCACCCCCCCCTCTAGACAACCGCGTATCTCCAATTGACAGCCGGTCACTTGAACGGGGAGCGCACAACTAGGATCATGATGTGTGCATGCTTAGATTCTTATAAGCTAGTAAGCGACTATTGTACCTTGCCCACTTGAAATGAGAACGATGCCTATTGCAAAGGACAAGAAAGCAAGCTTTCTCAATAAGGGTATTTCACCCTGATATCCTGAGGGCTGGTGGGCGGGGAGGACCTAACCTGAGCGCAATGGGCCAAATAAAGGGATGCGCCTATATCCGGGGGATTACAGTACCAGTACAAGGGTTCAACTCAAGACTTCCGTTGTGTTATCAAGCACTCTGTTACAAGGACTTCGCCTTCTGAAAAGATCCTAGGGCTATTCTCAGCCCAACACAGTTCACTATATTTTCGGGCAGTGCATCCAACCAACTGCACTCTTTCTAATGCATTACCAACACTTCGAACAAATTTCACTACCATTTTGTTGTATTGGCACATGGTTTGTTATTTTTTAAGCCATAAGCTTTAAGGGGATTGCAGCCTCACATTCAAAACAATTCCCATGTACCGTAAACATCTGAATCTTATCAGTACAGCTTGAGCACGTCTTTGATTTTTCGGTTGCACAGCGGGCACTTGCCCCGCCTGTCCCTGACCTCTTGAGCGCATGTGCGGCACAGCATGTGCCCGCACGGCACAAACGCTGCCTTCCGATACCTCTCCATGCACACACAGCACAGCGCCTCCAACGGCTCCACCTCCTCCCCTCCCCTCCCCTCCTCACCAACCCCTGCTTCTCCCCCTCCTACTCTCGTCCCCCCTCTTCTCCCTCCCACCCCCCCTCCAGTCCTGTCCCTGCGCCCCTCCTCTTCCTCCTCTTCTGCTCCTCCCCTCTGTCTCTCTCCCCCCATGTGCCTTCTGCTGCTGGCTACCCCACCCCCCCACGGCTGTGTGTGAGTGAGAGCAGGACTCTGGGTTCGTCTGGATGATACTTGGATTGGTGGGCCTCCTAAAACGGCCACCAGTGGCACACCCGCTCCTGTTACAGTGCCTGCTACAGTACTACCTCCTGCCCCTGTGCCTGTGCCTGATGTTGCCAATGCTGCCACCACCCGTGCCGATGCTGGGAACCTGACAGGGACAGGAGGGCGAGGAACAGTGATAGAATCGTTTCCGCTGGCACCTGACGCAGCAGCCGCACCAGCAGCCGCACTAGCAGCACTGCTGGTAAGCAGAGTTGTGGAGGAGGAGGAGGCGGAGGAGCCAAAGAGAGCGTTTTCGATCGCTGCGTCAATCAGTGCCTGTTCGTCCCTACCCCCGCCTCGGCTCTGCAACTGCTCGTACAGCTGGTGCTGCTGCTGGCTCAGGTGCTGCTGCTGCTGGTTCTCTTCCCCTTCTCCTGCTTCTCCATCCTCGTTAGAAGGCGACTCGTTACGGGTCAACAGCATGCGCTGCAGCCGGAGCAGCAAGAGCCGCTGCCGCTGCTGCTGCCTCTGCTCGTGCATCCTCAACACCACATCCCCCCTGTTGCTGCTGCTGCCCACACCACCCTGCACACTGACACCGCCAGAAGCACTGCCACTGCTGCCACCAATAACACCACTACCAGCACCACCAACACCAACACCGCTACCACCAGCAGCACTCCCACCACCAAAGCTGTTGCTAAAGCTGGAGCTCGAATGCAGCACCCCAGACCCTGTTAAGCTGTCTCTTCCCCTCACTCTTAACGGAGAGCCCATGCGCACTGCTGTCGGCAAAGGCATGCCTGCACTAACAGTGCTCATTTGCACAGCACCAGAACTCGCCACCCTGCGGAAACGCACGGGGCTCTCTCTTTGTGCTCGTCCCTGCTCTGCTCCCACACTGCCCTGCTCTCCGCCCCTACCACTCACAGTGACTTCTGCTGGCTCTCTCACAGCCTCACTCTCTCCAGCTGCTGCTGCTGCTGCTGCTGCTGCTGCTGCTGTTGTCAACCCTCTTGCTACAGCAGTGGCTGGAGCCGCGGCATCTGCAACAGCTGCTGTTGCTGTTGCTGCTACAGCTACCGCTGGTGCTACAGCTACTGAGGGTGCAGGGCCTGCATCCAAGCCCACACCTTCACCTCGTGCTGGGGAAAACAGCACCCATCCTTCCATAGGACACGATTCTACTGCACTTGACGTCCCCGCCCCTGGCAGTGGCACTGCTGCTGTTCCCCTGTCTGTCTCATTGGATGCTGCCCCTGCTGCTGGTTCTGGTGCCGCTGGCGCCCCAAAACCAAACGGATTCGATGGAACGTGGGAGGCCACTGTATCATAGGAATCAAACGGATTGTACTGCGTGCAGTGCTGCTCAGCTCCCTGACTCTCATAGGGCAAGGGCTGGATGTTGGCAGTGTATGATGGCTGTGGCATGTCAGTGTCTGCATAGATGAAAGAATGGCAAGTGCCGGCTGCTGCTGCTTCGCCGATTGCAGAGGGACTGGGCATGGTGAGAGAGGTTGCCATTGAGGGCGCTGGCAGCGCATACGTTGCTGCTGCTGCTTCGCCAATTGCAGAGGGAATGTGCATGGCGAGAGTGGGTGCGACAGGGGAGTCATCCAACATGCTGGTTTCTGGCACTGGGGATGATGCTGGAAGGATGGGCAATGTTTGTGAGTCTGATGCTGAAGCATGAGAGACCAGTGATGATGGGACCACATTGTCCAGTGGAAGTGGGAGCGACACAGTTGCTGCTGGCTGTGTGGTGGAAACAGCAGTATATGGTGCATCAGCAGGTCCAGCAGCAGGGAAAGGTGTGCTGACAGACTGCCTACTTGCTGCAGGGGCGGTTGCTGCTGTTGCTGGTGCAGTGGCGCCAACACTTGTTGCTGTTGCTGCTGCTGCTGCAACAGGCCGGACAGAAAGAGGCTGCTGTGAAGGCAGTGGGCCAGAGGCTGGTGAAATGGCATGTGGAAATGCTTCAGCTATAGCTGCTGGCTCAGGTGCTTGATCAGATGCTGTGTCAGGTATCACATCAGGTGATATGTCATGTACCATATCAAGAATCTCATCAGATGCGGCATCGAGTTCTGTTGCATCAGGTGCTGGCTCAGGTGTATTTGATGCTGTGCCTGGTGCCGGGCCAGGTGTTGAATCGGGCATATCAGCCGCGAACGCAGCAGCAGACGCTGGCAACGAGTGAGACGCAGCAGCAGCAGCAGCAGCAGCAGCACCAGCAGCAGCTAAAGATTCAGCAACCACATCTGTCGATGCGACCAAATTTGCAATCAACAAATTAGCTGCTCGCTCAGAAGTGTTGGCACCGGTACTTCCAAAGGCAACCGTTGCTCCAGCAGTAGCAGGAGGAACTTCACTAACCCCATCGATCCGCTCTTGCATCCCAGCCACCAGCCCCACCACATTTTCTCCTCGTGTCTCAATCTGTCTGTCCCTCACTGCAAGGGCTGATTCACCATCCGCGAGATCACCACCCTCCACTGAGCTCCTCTCCTCCCCACCCGAAATGCACAACTCCATGCTTGTCTCACCCCCCCCACCCCTCCCACGCGCCCCTTCTGTCGAAGCAGCAGCAGCAGCAGAAGTGGAGGCGGCAGGGTGGGTGAGTGAAGACGCATCAGTAGCAACAGCTACTACCGGGGTGCCTTGAGCACTCTCAAGAGCAGGCAAACGCGCATCTGTAGCAGCTGCAATTGACGCCTCTGTAACAACAGCTGCAGTTGACGCCTCTGTAGCAGCTGCAGTACCTGCAGCACAAGTGGCATTGCCACTAAAATCCACCACACAGCTGGGGCTGCCCCCTGCCCTGTGCAACTCCCTCTTGCCTTCCCTGCTTGGTGCACAGCTGTCCAGTGCGTGGGTCACCGCGCCACGTGAAGCAGCACCTTCTGTACCCCCCTCGTGCCCCATCACAACCCCGCTCAATGCCACACCACGAGGACCACTTCTGTCCGGTGCGTTGTGGGTCACCACGCCAGGTGAAGCAGCACCTTCTGTACCCCCCTCATGCCCCATCACAACCCTGCTCAATGCCACACCAGGACCACTTCTCTCCGCCTCCACCTCCTCCCCAGCCCCTTCCCTTTCAGCCTCACCAGCCCCGGCCTCTTCCCTTTCAGCCTCACTGTCCTCTCCTGGGACTGCGGGTGTCTCCACCACCGAATCCACTGCTGAGTCACCCCCTCCTTCCCGCACCATCTCCTCTGCTTCACCATCTACTGCTGTCAGACCCACGCCGACAGTTGCCTCCCCTTCAGCCTCCAGTCCCCTGTCACCGCTCTGCACCCCTCCCAACCGCGCCCCTAGCACAGCCACCACTCTTCGTTCTCCCCCGCTTCCTCTCTGCCTGCTCTGCCTGCCCACTAGCCCATGTACAGACACCCGACGCCGACCCAGCCTGCACTGACTCGACGCAGACTGCTGCTGAGTCAGCACGAGCTGACCTGGCACGAGATGTTGCTGCTCTGGACTCAGCTCCTGCTGTTCTGGCTGCTGCTGACGTGGATGAGTGGCACGAGTGGTACGAGTAGCACGAGAGGGAGAGGGCAGGAGGGAGGGTAGAGGGGAGAACTGCTGCCGAAGGCGCTGCTGCTGCTGCTGCCAGCGCCACAAGGCACGGCTTCTCATACCCTCTCCACTGCTCGCACTCAAACTGTGAGGAGGGGGATCCGCCACCACTTGCCCCTGCATGCCAGCAACATTGAGAGAATGCTCCTCTGTGTTATCAGCAGAGACGACATGCGCTCCATGCACGTTTGCTGTGGCAAATATTCCAGCGCTCGCAGCAGGGATATCGCCGTCAGATGCAGTGTCAGCATCTGTTGCTGTTGCATGCTCGTTCTCCATCTCCACCATCCTACCCCTCCTCCTCATCCTGCCATGGTCAACCCCCCCTCTGTCTCTCGCTCCCTCACCTCTCCCCACTCCTTGCAAACCCTCTCTTGTCCGCCCACGCCTTCCCATGCACATGCGCCTTGACTCCCCTGCTTCCTCTTCCCCTTCCTCTTCGCTGTCTTCTCCTAGTGACTCTGCAGTTGCTGGTCTTGCTGCTGCCCCTGCTGCTCCTACTGCCGCTCCTGCTGCTGCCCCTACTGCTCCTGCCACCGCCTCTGCTGCTGTCCCTACTGTCCCTGTGTCTCCTGCTATGTGCCACTCAGCCACTTCTGCACCTTCACCTGGCCACTCGCGAGGCGAGGAGCGAGGGGCAGCAGGCACACCACCCCCCAAACTGCCTGCTACATTACCTCCCGCACCAGTCTCATGCTCTCTGAAACAGTGCGACCTACTGGCGCTGCTACTGCCACACACGGGACGCAGCACCACAGGACACGCCACACACAAATAAGCGGAGGAGCCCGTCAGCAACCACCACCGCCGCTGTCGCAGGCCAGTTTCTCCTCCATGGGTGCTCAGGCTAGCTCCTCCTTCTCCCTGATTGCTTCGGTGCAACCTGCTCGCTCTCCTCTCAGACCTCTCACCGTTCCCTGCCGGGTGCTGCTGATAGGAGGACAGGCGAGCGCCGGATTCGTTCAGCAAGTCCCCTTCGGTGTACCCCCCTTCTCCCTGCTCCCCCTCCTGCCCCTCTTCCTCTGCCTCCTCTATTTCCCCTTCTATTCCCCCCCGTATTTCCTGCTGTTGATCTAACTGACGAAGCTGTGCCTGTGACTGTTGCTGCACTCCCCCTGCCCTTGAAACATTCTCTTCGGCTAATGCGTTCTCTGCTCCCATTTCTCCTCCTTCCCCAAGCAATTCCCTCCTCACTCCTCCTCCTCCTCCTCTTCCTCTGCCTCCTCCTCCTCCCCCTCCCCCTCTCCGTCCCCTCCCCCCTCTCCCACGCCCTCTTACCGCCTGCATGGCTAGAGCAGCTTCTCTCTCTGCCGGCCCTGCTGCCCTTCCCTCCCTTCTATCACCTCCCCCTGCCCCTGCACCAGTCCGTTCTACCCCAGGTCTCACCCCACCTGGTCTTGGCCTTGCTCGCTGATTCCTCATCCCCACCTCCTCCCCCTCACCCCTCCCCCTCACTCTCGCACTCCCACCCCTCCCTCCCTGGTTTCCTCCCCTTGTCTGACTCGCACCGCTTGTTTGATTCTCACCTCTAAGTCCATTTCCGCCCGTCCTTTGGTTCCCACCTCCCAGCACCGCAGGAGCCACACACTCATTGCGGAACAGCCCCCGCCTAGCAGCGATGCGCACAGGGGTAAGGAAGCACTGGTTCGGGGGCATAGCCGGAGGGTTCTGGTGATTGTGACTATAGCGAGGGGCTTGACGGGCCGTGCTATGTGATGATGGTGCTGATGGGTACTCGGTGCGAGAACCAGATGGGTTTACCATGCTGGGAGTGGGAGCAGGAGCGGCTGATGCTGCTGCTGCTGCTGCAGCTGCGGCTGCTGCTGACGGAAGGATCAGTATTTCGTCTTCTTCTGATTCCTCTGGCACGATCTCTCGTGACTCAATATTCGGCTCGAGACTCGACTCAAAATTCTGCTCGAGGTTCGATTCAAAGTTCGACTCTAAATTCGATTCTGCCACGGGGTCGAGCTGCGACGCCATTGGCTGGGAGTCGATCCACTGCTTCACTGCTACAGTGCGGCGGACCGCAGAGGATGTGGAGAAAATGGAGTACGGGGGGGAAGCGGAGGGGGAGGAAACTGAGGAGGAGGAGGGGTGAGACAGGTGCTTGTCCGCAAGAATGTTTGAAGAGGAGTCAAGACTGGAGCCTGCAGCACCTGCAATGGCAAGAGGGAGCTGGTTGTTGTTCCTGCTGCTGCCACCACCACTGCCGCTCGCACTGGCATTGCCGCTGCTGTTTCTGGAGCTCCTACCTGCTCCAGTCAACACCCGCCTCTGTGGCACTATTGCTGGCAACTCTGCTGCTGCTGCTGAAGCTGCTGCCGCCGCTGCTGCTGTTGCTGTTGCTGTCGCTGCCGCAGCTGCTCGTTCTGCGGCTGTTGCTGCTGCTGCTGATATTAGCCCTCTCGTCCTCTCCGGGAAACCATACCCCTCCGCACCCCCTCGACTATACACACTGCAGCTGCCCCTCTCGGTACCAACGCTGGTATCGCCTATAGTAGCTGCATCCTCCATGCTCTCATTGAAAGACAAGTCCCCAGAGAGGGACGACAGGGACCGCCTGTGACCGTCACATGCATCCATGCCTCTGCTGCTCCCTGTAACAACCATACCTGCGTTACAAACAGTTTCGCCAATACCACTGCCTGTTACACGGTTACTCGTGCGCTGGCTTGGGGACGAACTGCCTGGGCAAGGTGTGAGGTGAGGCGCATCTAAGCTGGTGCCTTCCGCCTCATCCCTCTCCTCCTCCGTACCCTCCCTCTCCTTTACCCCACTATCATCATCGTCCACATGCCCCCCTTCCTCACAAACGTAACCCGCCCCCCCCCACCTTCCTTCTTCATCTGCCTCTCTATAACCACCCTCCCTTCCACCCTCCCTTCCACCGTCCCTTTCTTCAGAGCCCGAGCCCTCTCTTCCTTCCTCCTCCTGCACCTCCCCCTCACTCTCCCTCTCACTCCCACTCTCATCCTCCTCCTCTTCCTCCCCCTCACTACCGTCCTCCTCTCCTCCCCCTCCCCCCTCTTCCAACCCCTCCACGACGACAGCTGGCAGCAGCTGATAGGCCCGTCCCGAGGCGTCATCAACTAGCAGTACGCTCTCTCCTCCCTCCAGCGCCCCCCTTGCATGCTCCTCCATCTCTCTACTCAGCCGCAGCTCATGGCACACCACCGCCTCCTCCTCCTCCACTTCCTCCTCCTCATCTTCCTCCTCCTCCGCTTCCCCCGCCTCCTCAAACCCCAGCTCCTCTCCACTTTGCAGCAAGACGGCCCCTTGACTGTGGAACACCCTCTCTCCTCCCTCCACCCTCGTCTTTCCCCCCTCCACCACCCCTTTTGCGCAGCACACTCTCTCATTCACCCCGTCCTCCCCGACCTCCATCTCGTTACACACTGTGGACCTTTCGTATTCGGACGCCATGCCTCCTCCTTCCAGCGTGTTCCCTGCTCCCGTGGCACATGTTACCACATTCTCGTCACACGTATCCGTCGCTCGTTCCCGCTCCCAGCATTCCACCACTACTGACTCATCCACAAAACAAGCCGCCTGGTCGTCTTCCCCTGTTCGCTCAAGCAACCCTAGGCCCCCAACTTCCAGTCCACGCCCCCCCTTCCTAGCCCCTACCCCCCCTTCTCCCCTTCCTTCTCACTCCCATATCCCCGCCCCTTTCCCCCTTGCCCTTCCCCTCCCGACGACCACCCTCCTCCTCCGGACAACCTTCTCGCATCCTTTCCTCCCTTCAATCCCTTCCTTCTGCTCCTTGCCGCCCCACCGCCCGAACCATTGCCACGTGTGGCAACGCTAACAACTGCACCCGCACAAACTGCCTGACTGTCCGTTCCACCAACAGTCAGTGGTGGTAGATCTGCCAAAGTCAAGCTCGTGCCTGTGAAAACCAGCTCACTAGAAGAACCCCCCTCCACGCATAACCTACCATGATCTTGCACCTTCTCAGAGGCACTTTCTGTGCCGCTTATTTCCCCAACAGAACCCACTCCATCCTTCCTTGCCTTCCTCCCCTTAGGAGTCCACTCCTTGCGTGCCTGAGCCCCGCCAGCAGCACCGCTTCCAACCGCTCCGCCTCTCCCTTTTTTCCCCTGAACCGCTGCTCTCCCCCCCACGCCTGAAGCAGCAGCAGTTGCGGCAGCTATCTCAAGTTGGCGGATCCTCTCCCCCACCGTCCCCCTCCCTCTGTCTTGCCCCACGCCCGCAGCACCTCTCCCTCTCCCCGCTGCCTCCCACCTTCCCTCTTCCTCCTCGCTCTGCCAGGCGCCATCACAACCCCCGACGCTAGACCAGTGTTCCCAGTACCTATAACGAGGACAACCGTTTCTGCTTGCATATCTTCTTCCCCTTCCAGACCATCGAACGTCATACCCGTTTCTCTGCCCCCTCCTCCACCTCCCTCCCGATCCGTATCCATCTCAATGCTATCAGATGCAGGGATCGCAGCTCTAACTACCTGTTTCGGGTTCCTGGTCGCCCGTCCCCCTCTGCTGCCGCCGCCGCTGCCCTCGCCACTGTCACTTCTCCTGCCCTCCTCACTGCAGTACAATCCGTTACTGTCACATCGCCTGGTGGCATCAAACCGCGTCGCAGCAGCCTCCCTGCTCGGCGCGCCATCTAAACCGTCAGAATCGCCATCATCATCCTTTCCTCTGTTCTCATCACTATCCTCGATACAAGCATCCCCGCGATCCGCACTGCCACCAAGACGCTGTCTAAAAGAACCCTCTCCTGCCTCACAGCTATCATCATCCTCTGCACTCCTAGGCACCTGGCAAGGGGAATTAGGCCGTCTCAGCGCCGCCTGCTTCCCCTGCTGTCGCCTCTGCACCTGGCTCTTAAGAGCGTGCGGGGATTTAACTAAGTCCAAGCCTGCAGATTGCGCTTTCCGTCTAGGAGACGCTCTGCTGCCAGGCCCGAGTATAGAACCCGCCCTGAGTGACCCCTCCCTCTTCATTCTGCTACTGACAATGCTAGGGTTAGCTAAGGCGTCAGACGAGTCCGTGTCTGTGGTACCAATGCTGCTGCTACGCCTAACAGCGTTGGAGTTACCGCCGCTGCTGTTGCTGCCCTTGCTGTTCCTGTTGCTTTTGCTGCTTTTGCGAAGAGGGCCAGTTGTGGTCTTGGATTGTTCAAAAATCGATCTGAGCTGGCGGACGCTCACGTTTGACGACAAACCGGGACTGTTTGGGCGGCAACGGCTGGCGTTTGCTGCAGTAAGCTCTGGTGATTGCTGGCCTGTGATCCGCTCCGTGTGCTTCCTCAGCTGCTCTGCTGTCAGCACTGCGGTTTGCCCTGTAGTCGGTCTAACTGACAGCTTTTGCGATTCTCCTGTTCTTGACTGCTGCTCCTCCCTCTGCTGTTCCCCTCTCTCCTGCTCCCCTCGCTGCTGCTCCCCTCTCTGCCGCTCCCCTCTCTCCTGCACCTTGCCCACCTCCTGTTCCTGTTTCTGTTTCTCCTGTTCCTGTTTCTGTCGCTCCCTTTGCTTCCCCTTGTCCTGCGGTTTCCGCTTGGCAGAGGACGAGCGCGGGCGAGGCAGTTTCTCTTTCTCTTTCTCCGCTTCACACACTTGGGCCGTTTCCCCTGCCTGGTCGGACTCCGTTATCTGCGCGGAATCCGCCACCTGCTGGGCTTCCGTTACGTGCTCGGAATCCGTCACCTGCTGGGCTTCCGTTACCTGCTCCTGACCCTGCTGCGTATCTTCCGTCAGCCTATCAGAAAACGTCAAGTCAACCGGGACGCTAGACGGAGAATCAGCTAGCGCCAACTGAGGTAACTGACCTACTCCACTCTCCGGGTCCTCGTTCCCCGCCTTTTTCCCCTTGCGCGATTTAGGCGTGTCCTTCCCTTTCTTCGCTACTCTGCGGGTCACAGACGCGCTCCTAATTCCCTCCTCTCCCACTTCCGTCTCCCCGACGCTGGTCCTAGTCACTCTAACCCTAGACTCGTCTTTGTTGGCTTGACCCCGTATCCCGGTCTGCTTCTCCGCCGCTATTGCTGCGAATATCAACCGAGTCTGTTCCCAATGCTGCTGCTGCCGCTGTCGCTGATACCGCTGCTGCTGTTTCTGTCGGCGCTGATGCTGCTGCTGCTGCTGCTGCTGCAGCTGGTGCTGCCGTTGCCGGTGCCGCCGCTGCTCGGCGGCTTTTCTGGTCCGACGAAGGCCTTCAGCACGAGGTGCTGGAGAAGACACCTCCATATGCGGGCCGCATCGGGGTTCGAACACCCCGAGAGAGTCAAACTACCTTCTTTCGGTCAACGCGAATGTAACCCTTGACGTGCTGGAGAAGATACCTCCATACGCGGGCCGCATCGGGGTTCAAACACCCCGAGAGAGTAGTAAAACCACGCTTGTAGTAGCCACCGCTGGGCGGAGGGGGCGCGGTGGCTTAGCTAGTGACCGTTAGACACGGAAAGTCCGTGGTTTTCTGTTCCGTATAACGTACAGCGGCTGTGTCTATACGAAGCTCGACGACGATTATTTAGACCATACCGCATCCTCGCAAATCAGAAGAAATTAAGAACCACTTTCACCTATCCTAGGGACAGGTTCAAATCGCGCATGGGCTACATAATTACTCCGGCCACCAAACAGCGACACACCAGGCGCGTTGTTGACCACACTAATCGTCTGAATACTCAGGCATGGCAGAAAGTCACTACCTTTCTGGTCTGCGTCCCCAGGAAGCACACGTTTCCCACACTAGCACCACCACCACGCGGCCACTAACTAGCTACAGAGCCTTGGGAAGACAGTTTGTGCTGGGCCAGGGCTTGGCTGTCGGTGGATCACGGAACGGAAACTGTTTCCCTTGGGAACAGGGTTGGTTCATAGGGGCCTTCAGTGGGGCAGTTGTCGTGGGCCATGACCAGCCGCTAACATGCGAAGAGCTCAGGGAAATGTTAAAATATAACTACACTGTACACAAGTGTAGGGGGAAATGCTGTACGTCTTAGACAATGTTGTTATATCTAAATTCACGTACACAAACTTCGCTGCATGCAAGAAAAGCAACAAACGAACTGGATGTAAATTTCATGTTCCAATAACGAACGAGTTCAAGTTTGGAAGAGCCTTCTGCACCCTTTCGAGCGCCTGGTAATCGCCTACCCCAACGTTTTCGAGATAAGGAAAGGTCTTCAGGCATTCTACACTATACAGGTTAGATAAAAATCTCAGCAGAAGGGTTTTGAGAGACTTGAAGGACTTCAGATACTCCATTCCTCGATAAGTGATGCTCCGTGGGAGACTCAGCCATCTTAACTTGACCAGAGCGGCTAGACACCATAAGCCGTAATCGCACACCTGGGTATTAGCAATATCCAAATGCTCTAGATTCCCAAGCTTCCCCACATATACCATGGTATCAGATGTGAAACTAATCCCCAACTGCTGTGACAGAACAAGACTCTGTAAAGAGGACAGCGCTGCGAGGTTAGCAAGACCGTTACCTGAAATAGGAGTATCACGCAACTCCAGATGGCGAAGTGCCCAAAGATTTTTTATTTCTGGCACCATGGGCTCAGTGACCGATTCAAGTTTCAACTCCTCCAGCCATGTCATGGAGTAGAGCTGCAGGAGAGCAGGCTTCTCGAGATTTCCCACAATGGAGATGCTTTTGAGGGATCGCATGCAGGAGAGGTGGATGAAACCGAACATGGTCAGTCGCCAAGTGTCATTAAGTGTGATTTCGGTTGTTTCAGGGTGGAGATTGACGATCTGAATGTCCTCGTCGGTGGGATGGTGATTAGTTGCTGCAGGAATGGCCTGAAAGCATGACGACACGCAGGTGCGTAATAATGAGAAACCACGGAACCAGAAAACATTGAATGATTGGCATTCCGACGCACTAAATTTCTCGTTCAAACAATAGAAACACTCACCTCCCAGATGTTTTTCATCTCGTGCCTCTGTTGTACCAGCAATTCCTCCGTCTGCGCAAGTCGCACTTCCAGTGCGGCTATCTCCTCTTCCCTCTCCTCCCTAGCAGCCCTCTCCCGTGCTAGCTCATCCCTTAGCTCGCTTATTCTGTCCCTACTCGCCTCCCTGTCTTCTACGACGACCTTTTCTAGAAATTCCACCTTATTTCTGAGGGCGACCATCATCTCCTCGAGCCTAGCCACTCCCTCGTCCTTTTCGCGTTTATGTCGTTTGGTTTCCTCCGAATCCCCCCTCGCATCCTCCAGAACAGAATACTCGGTTTCTAACCCTCGCTTCGCCATTGTTCAGCCAGTGATAAACTCGGCCTGACAATGTAAGGAGGAA